AATGAAACTACAAAAAAGATATTTAGTAATCATGTTGCACTGTGTTCCAGCAGTGGCTTTTATTAGAGAACAATTTATAATATTTCAAAATTTTACCATCGATATTTGTCTTGTCCAGTACCATGTCTTTGGTTAGGGTGAGTGGGGCAAAAGCTAAACCCATAATATCCCCAATGGCTTAACAAGAGAGAGATGAGGAGGAATATTGCCATGGAGACTAAAATAAATAATAAAAAGATAAAATTAACTTTAAAGAATGAAGCAAAATGCATTGGGGACAATAATGAGAAATTTCCAGACAATAAAAAGGAAATAGCTGATGTGCTGAATGAGTACTTCACTCAGAGGTCTACTAAGGAAGAAGTCAGCAGCAGAAGAACAAAGTTATGGATTAAACAGTATTAGCATAGAAGAGGAAGGAGTATCTATGGCAACAGAAGAACTCAAAAATAATAGCTCACATCAGTGAGGAGGAGAACAATTCATAGCCAATTCATAGATGGGGATTATTAGGAGGCCATGATTGGTAAAGGCCGAGGGGGAAATTTGGCCAGGACACCAGGATAAACTCCTCCCACTTTTTGAGAAACTCCCTGGGATTTTTAATGACCATGAAGAGTCAGGGCTTCAGTTTTCATCTTATCTGAAGGGTGGCACCTTTTTTACAGTATAGTGTCCCCATCATTATACTGGGTCATTAGGACCCACATAGTTCGCAGGATGAGCACAACTTTAGCTTCCCCAGGAGGTCTCCCATCAAGGTATTGGACAGGCTCACACCTGCTGAGCTTCAGTGCGCTGCCAGTTGTGAGCTGCAGGGTAATATACAGTAGCTACAGTAACTATACTTAATATATATATATTACACAATCTTTCAGAATCAGGATCACCTTTATTTGCCAAGTACATATCATGTACAAGGAATTTACTCTAGTGTACTTGTTGATCTACACTGTATATACGAAAGATAAACAAGACAATAGACCTTTCTTAGATTCTTATAACACTGAGCTTAAAAAGAGGTTTATGTTGACACATCATTCGAATTCACTAGACAGTACGATGACCAAAAACTGAAGGCAAACTTAATATTAAGATATGTAGTTACATGTATAGAATTCGAACCAATGGATTTTATAATAAAATTGTACAATGCAAAAGTAAGACTACTTAAAATTCTTTCTACCAAATTACAGAAAAGTTATTACTGCTCTGGAGCCAGTCCAGAGAACAGAGACAAGATACAATCTTGGGCTTAAAGGCATTGTCCTGCATTGACAACTAAAGGAACTAAAACTTTTTAGCTTTGAACGAGGGAATTCTGAGGTCCATTGACAAAGTCAACCCAACACACTTCTTCAGAATCCACAGTGAGACACAAACCGGATGACACAAACGGAAACTGTGTAGAAGTTCATTGAAATCTAAGAACAGGAGCCACTTCTTTCACAAAGGGTTGTGGGAGTGTGGAACAAGCTATTTATCCATGTTGTTGAACCCAAAACCTTGGCTTCTTAAAGAAAGGGCAAGACGAGAACTGCAGATCAATTAGCCAATAGCGACCAAACAAACCAGACGGCCTCTTCTCATTTGCAATCTTTCTTATTTTTTTATATATCCTTCGCGTGTTTTTCTTTTCCCTCGTTGGTACGGTACTTCCTTAATGGCTCTTTTCATCACTGACTCAACCATTCAGAAACAAAAACCGGCCATGACTCTAGATTTCTTCACCAGCTAAAATGGTGGAACAGGGCGGGTAAAAAAGCTTGTCGCTGCTTTGTCAAGAAGCAGAAAATAATAAAAACACCCTACCAGGCCTGAAATCTCTCCAGCAAGCCAAGCTTTTAGAAACGAATATAAAAATAGCTGATGGTCTGATTAATAGGTATGAAAACACTGAAGGTACACGGTGCGCTATCAATGGGTATGATTGCCTTTGTATATTTGGGAGATCATAACTGGCTGTCCTCAATGGCCTGGCCCTCCCACAGGGCCGAGTCATCGTCCTCTGGAGTTTTAAATCCCCTCCCCCTCTCTGTCAGCTTGCGCTCCCTGCGCTGTGCCAGTGAGAGAGATCTCTCTGCCGCCTGTCTTCAATTACAGCGCAATGGGGCTCGGCTGCTTTTCATGTGACTGCACACTGCAGCTGAGACTGAAAGACGCCCCTCAAGACCAATGGAGACAGGCCCCAAACAAAAGGGCGTTGGGCAGTAGCGGCAACGGCAGCAGCTCAGTGAACTGAACCAGGCACCGGAGCAATAAGCAAGGTAAGGCATATGATGAAACTGATGCTTAGAGGCCTTTGCTGGGTGATTAAGGAAGGAAGGAAGGCAGGGACTCTGGGAAGTACTGTAGGTGGTGAACCTAAGCAGTTAGATATTAATAAAAGTGAGGTGAAAGTGTGACCACAATTGACCTAAGCATCCAGTCAGGGATAAAAGGACTCAACCATGGCATATACAGCTTTAAATATAAGGTTTACTAAAGTGTTGTATAAATGAACAATAGCATAAATTAAATGCAAATGTAACTTAAAGGCCTTCTTTGATTACATAAAATCCAGTTATCTAATCTACTAAGTCAATTAACAATGAATTAGTAGAAGTGATAAAATATATCTATGGGATGCTTATTTTGGGGCTTGCTTTTTGAAAGATCTCTCAAAGATGAGAGAAAAAGAATGATTTTGAGAGACAGTGGTAGATGAGAGATTCATGTCTGAATCTGATTAGTACACAATTGCAAAGTGTGTGTCTCTGTGGAAAAAAAACTGGTTTAGAAATGGATGATTTACACATTAAGGAAAAGAAACATTTTCGTGGCTGTTTTACAAAAGGGTTATTTTAGTGTACTGTAAAGTACAGATATAATACTAGATTATTAAGCTTCTTTTGACATAGGCTTTGTTGAAACACTGGATAAACTGAAAACTGATGTTTCGAGTCACTTGATTTATTCAGGAGCAAAAGGAAAAAGTGAAGATGTGAGACTGGTTTGTTTCTGTTCCATTGTTTTGAAAGAGACCTTCTTTGAACAGAGCTTTTGTCTTTCTCGTTGCTGAATTTTCAAACAAAGGCGGGAGTATAACTAATGACAGAATGATTTTATTGGGAACTCAAGGAAGATATTTGAGCACTAATTCAGTAAAATGTTTCAGTAAAAAGAAATGAGGGGTCACCCTTAATTCTTCAAGTGGCTATCCCAGGAAAAGTAGCCTTATTTGGTGGGAATCTGGCAGAGAAAATCTAGTTCCTATAGATGGTCCAATATAAACTGGCACAGAGCTGTGCATGAATTAGGTGATGTTTGAACAAATTGACTCTTTTGTGGGTGGAGTGGAAATGTTTAGGCTGCTTTTTCAAAAACAATAATTGTAAGTTTTCTTCCAATACTCTACTTACTAAGAAAATTAAAATAATAAATGTAATACTGTTTAACATTTAAAATAAACACAGGTTAAATAATTCCAGCTGCTCTTGTGTTGTGCTTTCTTTTGAATGCCAACATTTTTCAAAACAGACTTATCTGGCTATGAGGTATACACATTAAAAACTCTGTGAATTTCTTGTGGCCATCTTGCCAAACTTAATCCCGAGTTATTCAACCAATTCTGGTCCTGCACATGCCTGCATTCTGCGCACACGCTGTCGCTTTTCCACAGCACTGCTGTTAAACTGTGCTGTGAATTTATTACCTGTAGGTGGTGCTGTGTGCGAGACTCAGCATTTGAAACTCACCGCTGAACAGAAGCCTCATGCTGCTCTGCCAATGACTTCGCGTCAGAATCCTGTACTTTGGTCAGTCACTCGCTGTGAAAGCCTGGACGCGTTAACGTACAGCCAAGGTAGGCAGTATCTAATTTTAGTGTGAAGTGAGCCAACTGTTAGCCTATCTTTTATTTGAGTGCTAACACGATTCAGAGGTAAGTATTGATAATGGCCCGTGCTTTCTTAAAACAAATTCTAATATAAAAATGAATGACTGTACAGTTCTAGTACTGTAGTATTCCCAGGCGGAGGATCACCTTAAGCTCTTTGTGGAGACGGGCTGTCCTAGCTGTGCTAATTATATCTGGTCCCTGTAGTCCCCACACAAACCGCTGCATGTTCCTTAGATGGGACGTTTAAATGGAAAAGAGCTCATGTCCTATGATAGCATGGTCAAAACCTAGTAAACATTCTCCTGTTGTTTTTCCAGTACATGATACTGTATCTGGGATACATTTGGGTGAATATGGGACTCTATTCTTCAAAAACCATGCTTCAATTCCATGAAGTGCTCTATGCTAACTGCACAGTAGTCAGGTGTTTGTGAGGTTTATAATCACAATCTCGTAACCTAGAGAAAACAATATCGAGTACTATACAGCTAATCGCAGCCACAGTAAGACAAACACTTGCAGCCAGGCTGTAACTATATCTCAATGTGCATGCTGTATCCGCAAAGATCGCAATTAAGTTGGAGGGTATTTTTCCTCTCTAGCATCCATGAGTATAGATGGATATGTGTAGTTTTAGTGTTAAGTCTTCAAGGATACAGAAATTCACTCTGATTAACTGAAACATTTAATTATACATTTTCTGTAAGTTATTTCGCAAATGTTCAAAAAGGATTCATTCAAAGATTAAACATTGAAATGTGACACATTTTAACCACGGAACTGATAACCGTGAAAAGCCAAAATAACTCCTCCAGTGAAATTCGCTTTCAGCATACATTTTTAAGGAATCACGATTTTGCAATATATTATTTTTAAAGGGATCATCAGCACATTTACATTTTAGGTGAGTTACTGAAATAAAATGGCTGAAAGGCTGAAATGGTTCTTCAAGCTTCATTATGCGGAATAAAGTGAATATTAAGGCCACGGTACAACATTTCAGAAATTCACTTGTACAATGAATCAGGAATTCGCTGATCCAGCGGCAGGGGGAGGTGGAGTGCTTTTCTGTCGCGAAATGTCTGTGCTAAAGCATTACGTAGTGCTTGCTTTTTGTCTTGTGAGCTCTTTAACGCCACCCCTTCAGCTAGGCGAGCTTCAGCGAGAGGGCAGGGTGTAAACAAATCTCGATCGCATTCACGGGGACACCGGGGATCCGTATTTTATATTAAGGCGAAATGGGAACTGGAAAGCATAAAGAATGTAGAAGAGACTAACCGCGGCGAAATTCTCAGCCCGACTAAACAGTGCTTGTGCTCAGAGGAAACTGCAACGGTGATTGTGGGCTGTAGGTGTATCTATGCACTATATGATATTACATGCGCGATGGCGACTCCTGCGGAGCATGATCTCACCTTAGCTGAAGCCGAAAGCAATAAGGAGAAGGACCAAGTGTTCGGCATCCTCAGATTACAAGAAGAAAAATCGACCGAGAAAGCTTGCAGTAATCTGAAAGCGGCGGATGGGAGGTGGCAGGCTCCCATATTCGCGTTAGCTAGAAAAGCCTCCGAGACCCTGTCAGGAAGCATCCACGTTCTGCCCAAGGTAGTGGAACAGCGAACCTCTCCCCATTTTTCAGACGACTGGGGTGCCAAGGGTAAGTGTGAGGGGCGTTTATCAAGGTGCTGATTAAGATATCGTTTGTGGTAAATGCAATTCTGCCCTTGGCAGGATGATGTCACCTATGAAAAAGGAGCCTACTGTAATACTACTGTGTAGTCGTTTCCATTCCAGGGAGACAGTGGATTTAATATGGAGACTGTTGTCTGTCGATACATCGTTGTCGGGTTTCGGTATCAATTCTGCATTTTGGTTCCTCTTGAGAAGCTGTTTTTTTTTTTTTTGCACGCAGGACTTCAGTGTGAAAGCGTTAAAAGGACACATTAAGCACCCGAATCACCTGCCGGTGTTACCGATAGGTGCGGGCTTGTTCCTCTCGCAGTCGAAATTAACCCGTTTTTGCTTAAAATGCGTTCTGCAAATCTGTTGCAATTTTTAGGAATCCGACCTTTCAGCTGCGATGACCCTTTTCACACGTGGGTGAAGTGTAAACCATAGTAGGATCGGACCACACCCCAAAACCTACATTCATTATTTCGGTGTGACACTAACCTAATCAAACCGGTATCGTCTGCGGTCTGAGTAAAAAGCTACATCCTAACAAAGAATGCTTTAAGGAATTTACTGGAGTTATACATGTAAGCTTTGG